AAACAAACAAACAAACAAACAAACAAACAAACAAACAAACAAACAAACAAACAAACAAACAAACAAACAAACAAACATATATATATATACAGTATATGTATGTATGTATGTGTGTGTGTAAACTTTGTGAACATACGTGAAGTGTTAAACGGCCAATAAAGCACTTCAATTCCAAAAGAGTTTTTTACAAGATTTTCAAGATATTTGTTGGTAAACTGCGATACCAACGGGAGTGAGTCTATCATTCGAAATTTAAACATTGGCTTGACACGGAAAGACACTTTGTAAATGACGCCCAATAGTCCTGTCGAAAACAGTAAATGCAGTTATATACCATTAATTGTTATACAAGTTTTACGTTTGCAGTCATACTTACCTAAACTGACACGCGCTGCACTCATCTCATCCGGATTGTTAGGGTCATCCACAAACTTATGTAGTTCACCCGAACCAGTAACTATTTCCAAGCCAACAACCTGTTCTGAAAGCGTTCTTGCTTCTGTTGTCGCACCATGACATCCAGGTGCGATGGCCCCGCCAATACTGATGCTTGTAAGAACAACCATGGACTCGATTGTTAACGGTGGACTATGCTCTCTGAGATAATCATCAATTTTCGAAATAGACGCCCCTAAATTCCGAATACTTTTATATTAGCCAAAAAAGCGGCATTGTGTCTGAACACACCATCGACAAAAAGCATCTTTGTTTTTTTTACAGGTAACTTACCAGCTTCCGCATGGAGCACCCAATCACCATTCGATTGTTGTTCTGCCGTTACTTCATTCAAATCATCCGTCAACAGCAAACAGCTCTGTGTCACTGAGAGCGTACTCCAGCTATGACCTTCAGCAGCACATCGAATTTTTAGGTTCTCATTATTTGCTTTTTTCACGCAGGCAATCAGTTGGTCGAGGTTCTGTGGACGGAAAGTATACTTTGGTGTAAAGGAAATGGTATGCGCCCAATTCGTCCATGATTTTCCAAGCTCCGGAATTGGAAGTCCAGCAGTGTTGTCTTTAGATTCAGTTGATGAGTCTGGCCCATGACTTTCCGGTCTTATTGTCCTGAGATATCGTTTAACACCTCTGACAATAGAGCCTTGATTATTCTGGAGCTTGTCGAAAATTACTTGCTCGAGGTCTTCGTTGATAACATGATCCATGCCGAAATCATAATTCGGGATTCTGGAAGATTAGCGGCCATATTTTATAGCCGAAATGACACATATAAAACTTATGTAACGTAGACGAACGATAACGGGACAAACAGTGAAAAGTTGTTGTGTGACTTACATAACAGATACGTACAATAGTGTTTGCAAAATAGATTTACCATGACGGAGACTTTTCGTTGCACACAACACAGCAAGTGGATCGTCGGAGTATGCACTTACTGACCATCGAATTGACTTTTTCGTTCATCGTCATCCAAACAAAAATGAATATTTTTTAACCGTGCATAGGTCATCTGATCTGTGATAACAATCGTGTGAAATGCATGTAGATCCTCAATGAAAATACTAATACCTGAAAATGGAATTTTGTATAAAGTGCTCTACTACGGTCAATAAACAAGCCGTATAAACAAACTTACCGCCAAAATTGTTCTTTTTGGTAATAACTCAATGAAAGGATTGAAATTCCATACAGAAAACTGAAAACGCTATTATTAAATTTGATTTAAAGACAGCATGAGTCCGTAATCTTGTTATCTAAAAAAAGAGTAATAATAAAAGCCGTGGGAGCTAATCCGTATGAGAGATTTAGAGGATTTATGGAGGGGTTTTTAGGAGTGATTTGGAGACAGAGGGAGGTATTGAAGAAGAGAGTTTTTAAGGAAATAATGAGGTTTTGTTTTTGTTAAGGTGAAGATGTTGTATGTCAGTTTGGAATAACGTATCAAGTTATGTCAATTATGTATAACAAGCATGATGTAGTATTAAAATTGGTAATTAAAACGAGCATATTAGTATATTATATAAATGTACTGAATATACTTGCTCGTTTTAGGACGAATCTTTAATAATTAAGCACAACGAGTTCGTAAGTGTGTTTATTATTATGTTGACTTAAAGTAAATCAATAAACCGAGACCTTCATTGCTTCAATGCTGTACATTGTAACGTTATAATTAGCTGCTATTCAGCGACTTGCTGATCTACAATGACAGTATAACAGAATGATTGATATTTGCTCTAATGTATACAAATGAGAAGTGTTGTGTCAGTATCAAAGACATTCAACACGTTTGTTGGGCAAATTTACTAAGTGGCGGTGGCCAGCACGGACGTACAATGATCTACAGTGATATGATTTGATTGCATACAATTTTCATATTGTTGATTAGAGATGCTTTAACTCCGTATTAGTATAGGTAAGGTCGTACTTTAACATTCATCATATCTTCTATGTGATAAGAAAATCTAGTTTGGTCATGTATATTCTTGAGCACAATCTAACAAGGCTAATGTTTTTCCCGATAATAATAAGTTAGATAAAGAATGGAGGTATTTGGATCACTTTTACTTATTTCTGTCAGCTACATCGCTGAACTGTTATCTCTCTCTTGTATGACATATAGTAATAGCTCGCCCGCATCTGGTCTGTGTAGAGTGTAGTATGAGCTTGTGCGATAGTCCGATACTCCTGATGTTTTGTACTAGGTTTTACATGCTATGCTATTAAAATACAGTATGAGATTTATTTATGTTATGAATGTAGTAACTAGCTCATTTATTAAATTTATATTACCTCTTCTGTCACATCCCAAAACTCATACAATTGTTAAATTTGCTTTTCCACAGATTTAAAGATTCTGCGGAATGGTAGTATTTTTACAAAGACTTTGTAACTTAATTAGGCTCGCTGTAAGGCTCGAATATACTTGATCTGCAGGTATTTTCCCGGACATGGTTGTTCTCCTACCAAACCAAAATTCCCATTGAGAATTTATTGTCTCCCAATTTTCAGTTGTGTCGTTTGTGGGATTGCCAAAAGTCTATTATTAAGCAAATTTGTTAATAAGTAAAAATATAGAATATATAAATACAAGGTCTGCATACCTTTCCAGACCGTAAACGTTTGGTTGTCAAATGCTAAAAGTTAATTAGATTCAATAACTTTAGATGCGTATTTATTAATCTATAGAGAAAACTGTCAATCACTTACCTGACTTTTGTCATCCTTCCTTCCCCTCTTACGTTAATATTCATCATCATCCTTGCCTTCGTTTGTTCTCTTTTTTACTTGCATGTTTCGACGACTATTTTTATTAATCTCTTCATTCTGTTTCTTCGCCTGCATATAAAATTGTTATTAAAGTTAAAAATATTAAAATACAAAATAATAATACCTACGTCTTCTTCGCTCCTTCTCTGTATAATTTTCTGCAACCGGCTCTCAAATGTCTTCAGCCATGTGAAAATAACTTTCTGAGGAAATCGTTCGTCATTTTGAGGTCTCCTATTGAGCCTTTGACCGTTTTGATGGCGTATTTAAGTGGGAATTTATTGATAGATTCTTTTTCTTCAAGCAATCCGTGACTTGATCTTGAACTTCCGGCCAAAGCTCAGCATCCATACGGGAAGTTCGACCAAAGAGCATATTAATGTTAAACTTTCCCTTGATGACTTGCGGTTTAAATTGACGTTGTAGCTGCGCCTTAATTAAAAATAAAAATAAATTTATGCACAATCAATAGTTGTAGTAATTAAATTATCGTTCAAACTGAAATACCTTTTCACCCCTCTTCCACACCAGACGTATGTTCCTCGGAAACTTTTTCCGCTTCTACTTGATGTGAAGACTGCGGCTATACAGTTTAAACGTTATAGATGTTATAAATATTATATTAAAAATCACAGTATCAAAGAGAGCTATATTCACCTCGATCTCCATTGTATCATCTTCTCTGGTAATACTATCATTCTCATCCTCCGTTTCTAGATAATAATTAGTAGGATATACTGGTTCTTCAAATTCGATGTTTATCCTATCTTCATCAACTATTGCATCTGCAGGTATATCTCTCATACGTGTATGTTTTGTTACACGACAGTAACTTGTGTCCCATGCAGTTGATCGATCCATTTCGAAAGTTTATTTTTTAGAATACTATTGCCTCTTTCGATTAGTCCTTGCGATTGTGGATGTCTGGGACGTCCTCGAATAATTTTTGTCGCTGGCCAGTTACTCATAAAATTGCGGATGATTCGAGCAGTGAACTCAGTACCGTTGTCAGTATGGAATACCGTCGGCGGGCCAAATGTTAAGAACGTTTTTTTGAATACTTTTGCTACTTTGTTTGCTTCTTTCGATTTTAGTGGAGCTGCCCATGACCATGTAGTGAATCGCGTGCATGACATATGTATTTATAAGTGCCATTACTCAAGTCACCCATATTTATGAGGTCCGAGTCATAAACTTTGTTGCAATGATAGGTTTAGCAGATACAGATGTTTTCAAACTTTTATTCTCTGCATTTACTTTACAGCATTTAATAAAACACTCAGTTAAGTGTTGGGGTACGTAAGAATACTGCGATGATATTTCACTCCAAAATGCCGTCATGCCAGGATTTCTTAAGGCCATATAGGTTTCATAAAGTGTGTCGTATAGTTTTTCCTTTGTGCATACTGGCAAAGCTGGTTTGCACTTTGTAGACTTTTTCAGTAGCACAAATTGGTCTTTGCTTACGGCGTCTTCTCGAATTTGAAAATTTTGACGTACCTAATATAATTATTCAGAATTAATATTCATTATCTTAACATATTTTCACAAAAATAATAAGCTTACCCAGTAGCGATGTTTTGGTGTATATATTGTTTTATCTTCAGGATTCTTCAAAATTGCAATCGCTTCGTAGTCAGACCCACAAAGTTTTTCTCATTAGTATGGTCAGTATAAGTGCGAATGCACGTTATTAAAAGGGTGGTGATAGACCTTCGACGGATTGATACCATCGATAAGCAGTGGAATGAATCAAGATTTTGGTTCTTACAAAAGTGCCAGACATCTTAAGAGATTTCAAGAAGGCTTGGGATAACTTTTATCTACAGAAATCTTGCATTATAGTCACAAAGCAACTGTTACGTTTTAAATACTATTATCCAATGTTGAATAAAAGTAATCACGACGATGAAGAGTTGAGCAAGATAATTTTGCGACTGCATGGATCGTTTGGGAGAGGTATAAAAACAATGTCAGGAAACGCGAAACCAACTGAAATTGACAATGAACCGTAAACCACCAAAACGTAGTTACGCATTTTATTCAGTATCATGAATTTTAAAAAGGACCGCTATATTATATTCTCAAATAGTCTACCCTGGGAAAGAAGTCTAACAGTAAACGTTGTGCAGCTCTTGTTTTGTTGACACATTTGATATATCTAATTGGAAGAGAAGCGAACTCCTTGAGTACAAACCACGAGTTACAAGAGCATTTGCGTCACTAAATTATTAGACAATAAAACGATGTTAATATTTTATTGTAAGTTGACTTTATTTGTATCAACATGTAACTGTACCTGCAGCTGAATCCAAATCATAACTATTTCTCGGTTTAGGCAAAGCTCCAGTAGGTAAGAGTGTGCTGGAATA